AGGCATTACACTTTGCCTTTTCTTTTTCTTTTTTAGTGTAGTGGAGCCTCACTTCAGAGTGTTTACCGCGACCTATCTTTGGTGTTATGAAGTGACTGAGCTCGTGAAATGTCTACGGGAGGGCGGGGGAGCATCGCTGCGGGGCAACTGTGGACCTCTGTCGCCTGTCAGCGCAATTTATATGATGCCGTTTAAAAAAATGAAGGGCGGTGCCGGCCGTCAGCGTACCGAGCCGGCCGTCAACGGCCCGCTGACGACCGGCCGTTCTGTGATTCTCCAGGTCCGCCCTGTATTCCACCGGGTCACCGCAGCACCGCGGCGCAGACGGACCCGCTGGAATACAGGGTCTACCGCGTTTAGGAACCGTTAAGCAGAACCGAAATTGTGTATTTTGTATGGGTACCCGGTACCCGGCATTTTCTTATCGGTTCTCATCTGGAACCGAGTTTCGGTTCCCAACCCTAGTCACCTGTGTATTTACCGGCAGCTGCTACTGCACCTCCTACAGTGGATTAAATTAGATTTAAATAGGTGTTACGTTGCTGAGCACTGAGTCACTTCTGGTGTTTTGGGTATTGTCTAATCTTTAACAGATAAACAGCAAGAAGAGAAAGATCATGGTAAGAAGCTAACCATCACTTTGAAAATGCATATTTGTTGGGACTTTATTGAATACGTTTTTTTAGTGTTTCACAGGACTGATCCGAGCATGAATTTTACAGTTTCACCTCTTTTCTGTTTATTTACAAATGCTTTTCTAAGCCTTTTAAACAGATCATAGCTTAGTAAACGTGTGTTTTAGTGTGAAAGGATTTCGGTTGCGGTGAAATCACGTCCCCTGAGTTCTGTTTGGTTTGGCTGATCTGCATCTGTGTTTGCTCAGGCTGCTGTATTTGCTGAGTGTTTTCTGTGACATGATGTTCTCTTAATGACTGAAAAGACAATACTAATCAGATACAATTATTCCTTCACATTAAGTCTGTCAACATATATCACATGTATCCATCTTTAGGGATCAAGATTTGTTTTATATGAACATATTAATATGTAATCTTTATCATTTTCATATACAAAAAAGGTGCCATTTTCATAGTATTAACATCTGTATTTTTAAAACTTGATGGCTCTTTTATCTTCAGTAAAATTGTTATTCATGAATAAAACAATGTATACATTTATTGGAATAATCAACAGAAGTTGAAAATATATTTTAAATTCCAAACCACCAACATTAACATTGACTAATGAAAAGAGCTTTAGGCACTAAAAAGGAAACATAGAGCCAAAGAGAAAGGCATACCTTCTGTATTCTTAGCAACTTGTCTTATTTAACTCTTTATTATGAAGATGTTTTATTGTAATATTGGAAAGCAATTGTGCTATGGGAATAAGTTATAGTTTTTACTTACCTATAAGTACCTGTTTCATACCATTAAGCTTCAAGATCTATTTCCTTCAGGGGGATTTAGTAAAGAATGCAGCAACATGATTGACCTAAAAAGACAAAAATGGAACAAAATGACACCTTTTCTCATTCCTGTCAGGCCGAGCTATTATCAGGTTGTTAAGCTTCGTGAGCATACGTTTTCCAGCACTTCTTTTTTTCTTTTGTATTTTTTCAAAGCAATATTTTGTATTTTCCTCACCGAATATCCCGTTTTTCTAACGCTCATTATGATGGAGGTCTCCTTATATGGCTATGGCTTGGTGCAGTGCATGTGTGTGCAATTTAGAGACGGTTGTGTAAAGGATAATGTGCAGCGAGGCGGTCATTAAGGGTAAAAGAACACCCGACCGGCAGATCAGGAGCCCGACGCGAGGGATCTTGATCAGGAATATCCCGCTTATTACATGGCCACATTCTCAACAAAGTAACGATATGACTCCCAATATTAATTTAAATGCTTTTATAGATTTAGAAAATGTTTTTATTGATTTAAAAAATAGTAGGCTATTATTTATTTAAAATGACATGCATCCACTAAGAAAAATAGTCCGTTGTTACCGTTTGAACTAACGTAGCAACGGCAGGAAGTGCTTCGATAGCGTTTTTGAGGAGTTTTTTGATTACAGATTTGAAAACATCGCTGCTTGCTTTAAGCAGCTTTTATCTAGATATCCCTGCCCTAATGCCAAAGTAACTGGCTACTGAATATGTGTCGCCGTTTGATGTCTATGTCTGGACCGTTGCGTAAAAAGGAGGGTTTTTGCCCCGTTACTTCTCCGCTGTGTTCTTGTCCCAGTTTGAAAAGCAAACTGCATGCAGTTTGCTTTTCAGCCAAACTGTATACAGTTAAATCGACCGGACTTCTTTCTGTAGATGTAAGCGGTCAATAAATTCTTGACAGCGGTCTGTACTACTGGATTAACAACGTGTCACGTGCTCTGAATTGACCAATCAGATTTGAATATTCAACTAAACCATTAGTAATTGTGTCTTAGATCTCACTTTATCAGTGCTCTACCCTTATTGTCCTTTATTTATTAAAATGTTCCAACATAAGGCATGAACATTAATCAGTTTCTGTTGTAGAGTGGTTTTTCCTGTTCACTGTTAAAGGGAAAGGTGCCTGCCCTAAAACCAGTATTTATATCTGAAGAGGGTAAAAACTTGAAAACATAAGCAGAATGAAGATACAGACAGAATGTTCAGGAAGTTCAGATTACTTAAGTCAGGTACAAGCAGTGTCAGGATATCCGCCAATCACGCAAACAAATAGGGGTCCAAACCCCGGGTCAGAAATGGGCAGATCAGATAACTGAGAAAATACAAACAGACCTCGGAGACCTTGGCCGTACACACCAGACAGTCTGGCAGGGAACAAGTGAGAGTGAGCGGGTGTATATACTGTGGGTCAAATGAGGTGAGTTTCAGGTGAGGGGCCGGAGAAACCAGGTGAGGGCAACGAGCGGATTACAAGAACCAGGAGGAAGGCAGGATCTAAAATGACAGGGAAGTTATTGAAATGGAATACCAGAAATAACTATGATTGTGTGGAACTTCCATCGTCAATTTATATAAAAATTTTCATATCCTTGGCACTGCCTACATGCTTTTGAGCAAGGCATCCTACCCCATACCACTTCCTGGGCATTTTATACAGTATATGTAATAGCTACCTACTGTTCTACTAGGAAATGCTGAGTACATTTATGTCAATTTAAATGTGTTAAGATTGTATTACTCCATACCCATTTCTAGCATATTGTCCAAAACCAGCATATTGAAACGAAAATCACAATCAGAAATCGGGAATTCTTAATTAGTCTTTTAGTTTAGTTTATAAATGACTTTTTCTTGTTGATATTACAACTTTTATTTGATTCCCTTATTACCATTTATATCATCCAAAAACAACACGTTAAAACACATTTTCTTCATTTGATCTATGTTGGCTAAAGATGGCACACCAATTAATGTACATTAAACTTGTAGCTTCCCCTTATTGTCCTGTTTGATCATTTGCAGGCAGTTTGATAATTGACAAGATAGACAACAAAGAGGGATTATTTATGCCTCTATGTCTGTATGATGAATCACACTTAACATTTCGTGACATCAATCCATTTGTTGAGTGCTGCACCTGTGAATTAATTACTTCTAGTAACATACCACTGTCACAATAACACATAATTAGACTACTGTTCATCTTAAGGTGTACACTTGAGTGTGCCGCTGGAAATTCACACATGATTAGATTCATTTTTCTGCTTTTTGCCTAACGAATAATAATGTTTTCTTCCATCCTTGTCTGTAGTTCAGGAACCATTGTGAGAGGTCTTGCTCCCGCAGTTAAAAGTTCAACGAAAAAGAAGAGGATTTGTTGAAATAAAAAGTTTAATGCACTTTTGGAAACAACATATAAGCAATCCAGCTAAAACACATGCTCTAGAAAATACTGCTCTATGATCTGAGGCTGCTGCCTGGCTTCTAGGAACCAGAAAACTGCAAGAGACCAGAACCAGGTTAACAGGCTTTATTATCTAATGCCAAGGCCGCCGTAGCCACACCCCTACTGCCAAACTGACATGTCAAATACATTCAGTGCCTTCAATATGTTTCACACTCTTCAAATTCTGAACTAGTCTCTTAATCGTCTTACAATTGATACATCTTCTGTTGTTGTGCCATCCAGCAACACTGGATCTTGTTGACTCCCAGCCAACACTACTGTATGTGGGAGTGTCTCTGTCCAATGCAGTTAACTTGAAGAGACAAGTCATATTAAAGGTATGTTTACTTGAAAACAAACGTGAGGTTGTGTCAAATTGTCTGTACATAAAAACTTACACTATCTATTTCACTTTTGACATGACATAGTACAGCAGGTAGATAACATGTTAACATTTTCCATTAGTTGGCTTTCATTAGTCTATTTGGGGGAATGGCAAATAACCAGACTGTCAGTAGTGCTCTAACTTCAGCAATAAAGCGACCTGTGATTTGAATCATGAGTAACTACTTTAATTACACACGCAGCAGGAGCAACAACAGCCATCAAGTGTTTTATAACTTGTGAAACAAAAAATAACCTGTTCTCACAGATATTGCACCAATCAAATGTTCCAATAGTAACCAGAAATTCAATCCCCCAGACAAATACATTTTGGAAATTCATTACATAGAGATTCATCAAATGTAATGTATATAATTGATCAAAGAACAAGTATATAAATGTGTTGGATTCCCAGCTAAACTTTATTTGGATAAGTAAATACAGTTCTTCTTAAATATACCTTGTACACATTTCTTAAAATGGTGGCCAAACCCAAAGTCATGATTGGAAATGCATCTTTATAGGCCTATACAGATGAATCCAATGATGTAATAAGATAATTATTAGGTTAAGAAACCCTCAACATTGTGCTTGACCTTTATTTGTTCTGTGGTATAAGAACAAGGTATAATTGTGACAGTGTTCAATATCTATGTAATAAACAATGTAAAGCTGGGTGGTATGATTATATAATGTTTTTTCTTTTCTGTCCCACTTTCTTAAAAGGAATGGCAATATTTAAGACATGCTTGTCCATCTGTGCCCTTCTCCTGACACTAACTATTTTGGAAATAGGGAACTTCATTGAATCTCCAAGTCAGGTTTTACCGGTAGGTCAACGGTGATTACAATACTGTACAGAACATATGGAATCACAGCCTTCAATACACAAAGCAATTATTTGAACCTGAACCCTATCTGTTGTCTCAGGAACACAATGAAGAAGAATCATGTATACCTCACACCAGGGGGAAAAGGAGTGGTAAGTCTCATTATTAAATATTAAGAATATTGGAATAATAACACTTTATAACTGATAGATAGTTTAAAAGATTTAAAACATGAGAGGTGTGACTGCTGTCCCCGGAATATGTAGTGTACATAGCTTAACAACCAGATAAACTCCCTCCGTACACCAAGACTCTGAAGACGTGAATCCTTTGCCCACAGGTTTATTGGTATAAGGATGGTGTGAAACTAAAATAAACAAGACAAAAATGTAATTAATTCTATGATCATTTTAACATGTACAAATATGCACAATGGATATATATCAACACAGCTTTAACATGAATAATAATAATAATAATACATTACATTTATAAAGCGCTTTTCCTGGTGCTCAAAGCGCTTACAAGCAAGTAAAACAAATATAACCACAAAAAGTAGAAAGTGCTACGCTAGGAGGAATAAGGGCAAGGGTTAGTTGATTAGGAGTTGAAGGCAAGAGTGAAAAGGGGAGGTTTGAGGGATTGTTTGAATGATGTGAGGGTGTTGGCGGATCTGACGTGGCTGGGGGAGGGAGTTCCAGAGTGTGGGGAGGCTGCTGCGAAGGCCCTGTCACCCCAGGTCCGGAGAGAACAATTGCCTCGTTATATTTACTGTAAGCTTTTTAATGTATTTATTTTAATTCTAGAACTCAAACAGTTATAAATGGCATCATATTTTAAACATCTAATCAACCATTTGTACATTTATTCATTTAAACTCTCCTTGCATTAACCTTGTACAATATTGAGACAACTCGGAAGATCTCCAGCATTAAACACCACAGAATACAATATTTCAAAAAATAATCATCTTTAATTAGGGATGGGTATCGTTAGGATTTTATCAATACCGATACTGCTTATCGATACCGGTATTTTTCGATACTCTTATCGATACTTTTCAATAATTTGGGTGCTCAAAATTATAGACATGATTACAAGATTAAAAAACAGTGATTTTATTGTAATTTATTTATTATTTAATGTAACTTTTTCAATGTCATACCAAGCAGGTATGAGTGTGTTGACAGTGTGTCTCTAGAAGGGGGGCGGTAAATTAGGGGCAGTTCATAAATCCATGTAAACATGACATTATTCAGTTAAAACGAGACGCTGCGTGCGCACCTCCTAAACCGGAAGTTCCGGTCGGCTAATCATTACAATCCGTTTATTTGCATTATTATTATTTATAATTGTAATGATGGATTATCATTAATCATTTTAAAGTTACACAGAGACATTGGATTAGCCGTTGTTGTGCCCTTGAAACACAACTTTTGATCACAAAACAGCAACGGTAAGACTTAATTATCATCATGACTACGTAAAAGTGAAGTTGTTTTCTTGCCATTTCCTGGTTGCTAGTTCAGTGAGTTGTGGTCGTACAGTGATGAGACTTATACCAATGGAATCTGTGGAATCTCAGCTTCATGTGATATGTCGTTTGTGCAGATAACATGACGTAGAAAAGATTGATTTTGCCAGAACTTTATGGGCTAAAGTAGCTTGTTAGCACTGTTAGCCCCGTTAGCATGTTTCGCTAAGTGTTGATTTAGACTCTTGGTGTTGGACTTCTGTTCGGTGGTAGGTAAAATGGAGGGCCGCCCCTCCCTACAGGCAGATCACGCAGACTGCGTGGGGCCTCACCTTGCGGAGGGGAGCCTCAACTGAGGCTCCACTAGCACCCACCACTCCCAATAACAATACGTACATACGATTACATCACATTACATCACATGTCATGTCACTTGTTAGACGATTTTATCCAAAGCGACTTACATACTCAATACTGTGGACATCCCCACAGGAGAAATTTGGGGTGAAGTGTCTTGCCCAGGGACACAACGACATGCTGACTGCAGTGGGGGTTTGAACCACTGATTCCTAACACCAATGCACAACCCACTACACCACACGCCTCCTACGATGCGATCAATGGCATGAAGACATATGCAGATGTAGCTAGATTTCTTTACAAAACAATAGCACATTGCTCACAGAGCCATGCTTTGCCTATTTCATCTCTAATGATCACCTGACACACCCCATTTGATGATGTCATCCTGATTCTTAAAGGGACCACGACTAGGCACAATAGAGTGGCGAAGTCACGTCCCTCTAACTTCCGGTCCATGGGACCTTATTTCGGAAAAAATTATGTATTGAAGTCAATGGAGAGAGAAAAGATTATCTTTCGATCCCGTTTTAATTGTGCCACCGAATTACCAACATATGATGTTTGTCAATCTTAAAAAATAAATTCCATGTCAAAAAAGTCACAGTTTGTTCGTAAAACTGTTGAAATATAAGACTATGAAAAATACGCAACTAGAAAGACTACAAATCCCAGAGTCACGTAAGTGATGTGACAATTGTTTTCCTCCATTAAAGCCCCTGTCACACCTGTCCCGAAATTGACACCCGATGGACACACGAATAAAGGAAATGTTCAAATTCGGCTGTGATCGTAGCAACATCGGGCCATTCGTGAGGGCATCTTAAGCCATCGAATGACCGCCGGTGGAGTTTCTCAGGCTCCGGCAGCAACTTCGTGAGCGGCAACTTCGTAAGGCACTCGTGAGGGCATCTTGTCAAATCGTGTCATCTTCGTGTTATCATCGGTGCATTCACCCTCACTCTAATCGGGGCGAATGCCCGATGGCACCGATGATAACAAGATGCCCTCACGATGGCCTTACGAAGGGCAAAATTGACACACGAATTCAACACGAAAATGAACCTTCGCAAGGTCCTTCGGCAATTTTTTGGCATGCCAAAGATTTTGCCACCGCTCACGAAGTTGCTGCCGGAGCCTGATAAACTCCACCAGCGATCATACGAAGGCTTAAGATACCCTCACAAATGGCCCGATTTTGCTACGATCACAGCCGAATTTGAACATTTCCTTTATCGTGTGTCCATCGGGTTGTTTTATTGCACAACAAAATCATGTAAACATATTATGTAAATAACCCAATTTGTGTTCTGTGAAACTAAAAAGGATATAATATATTATTTTGAAGGACAGTTTGACAGGAAGTTGTTGTTGTTATGGAAACAACATTACGGAGAAAACGTAATATTTTCTGATGTCAATGTTGTGAATCGAGTGGCCCATGGTGGTGGGTGGGGTTATGGTATGGGCAGGCGTATGTTATGGACGACGAACACAGGTGCATTTTATTGATGGCATTGTGAATGCACAGAGATACCGTGACGAGATCCTGAGGCCCATTGTTGTGCCATTCATCCACGACCATCACCTCATGTTGCAGCCATGATAATGCACGGCCCCATGTTTGCAAGGATCTGTACACAATTCCTGGAAGCTGAAAACATCCCAGTTCTTGCATGGCCAGCATACTCACCGGACATGTCACCCATTGAGCATGTTTGGGATGCTCTGGATCGGCGTATACGACAGCGTGTTCCAGTTCCTGCTAATATCCAGCAACTTCGCACAGCCATTGAAGAGGAGTGGACCAACATTCCACAGGCCACAATCACCAACCTGATCAACTCTATGCGAAGGAGGATGTGTTGCACTGCGTGAGGCAAATGGTGGTCACACCAGATACTGACTGGTTTTCGGACCCCCCCCACCAATAAAGCAAAACTGCACTTTCAGAGTGGCCTTTTATTGTGGCCAGCCTAAGGCACACCTGTGCAATAATCATGCTGTCTAATCAGCATCTTGATATGCCACACCTGTGAGGTGGGATGGATTATCTCGGCAAAGGAGAAGTGCTCACTATCACACATTCTTTCAGATTTGTGAACAATATTTGAGAGAAATGGTTATTTTGTGTTTATAGAACATGTTTTAGATCTTTGAGTTCATCTCATGAAAAATGGGAGCAAAAACAAAAGTGTTGCATTTATATTTTTGTTCAGTGTATTAAGAACTTGTATATTGTGTGTGGATGATTTAAAACAACATTCATATTTGTTTGTATTTATTTCAATCTCTCTAGTGGCTACAAACCAATGGAATTACACGCTTGATGTTGTATTGAATGCCTCTGAAGTGGCAATAATTCAGCAGTTTCAGTCCTCTTTGAACAGTTTTCCCATACAACTTAGTAACAACACAGAGATCTCGGACATTACCTTCACAACAGGTGAGTCATTTGAGTAGCTATGTTGACCTTCTTACCAACATATAAACACCTTTTATGCTATACTGATCACTTTTCTTTCACCAGTGTGTTCCTCGACTGCCACTGGCTTCCAGTGTAGATGTGAGGACAATTTTGCTTGGCCATACAGTACATGTGTCACGTATGGAGCCTGTGATTCCATTCGTAGTGGCATCTGTACATGCATTGATGCTATTCCAGCTGATGGACAGTCCTGCCAGGCAATATCAGGTGAACAAGTCATCACTTATTGATTTCCGTTCATTGCTAATTACCAGCAGCAGCCTGGTGAAGGAAGAGCTATACTGTAGTTAGGGTCAATTCAATTCAGGGAAGTTCAATGAATGTTACTTACATTTAACACTGATTTAAAGGGGCCACGAGCTGACATCTTTTTGAACGTTGACTTAAATGTATTTTGTAAACAAATTACACATACTTGTATTTGGTTTGTTGAAAGCAATATTACGTTTCAATTACAAAATAATAGGTTCAACTCGATACCATTGCATTCAACTAACCTAATATAAGTACAGTATGTGGAACCTGTTGACATAATATATTTAATTAAAGTCAATGTTTAATTTTTTCAGTGTGTTATGCTCATTTTCAGGTTCATATTATTATTATTTAGTGTCTCTACTGTGAAATGTCTTCAAAAAGCTCTTTATATTTATCATACTGCCTGTGCTGCAGCACCTCTTTTCACCCTCTGTCTGAAACCAGAGCCCAGTCTGCTCTGATTGGTTAGCTGGCCAGCTCTGTTGTGATTGGTTAACTGCTCAGTAAAGTTCCGGCCCTTAGCCTATCACGTACAAGGTGTTGGAGCACTAGCCAATAGATGTCATCATGTCACTATGTTACAGAAGTAAACAAGAAGTCTAATGGATGCGTTTAAGGAAGGGTGGGTGGAGCAAACTCCCTCTGGAGGGCAAACAGGGATTTTAGCCTTTGCAGACCATTTACATGCACAAAAACCTTTTTAACCCAAAAAAGCATACATTTTCTTTTTGAAGGGTCGCAGTGGCTAACACTTTTAAATAAGAGATGTTAAATATTTTATATTTAGAGGGATCATTAATAGACCATTAGCTCTAAGATAAAACACATAATTAAGTATTACTTTAAATGACTACAGCTTAATTTGAGTGATTTCTCTACATTGATATGTCCTTTAACCAAAAGAGACCCTAATCATGTTGTTTTTTTACTACAGGGCTTCTGGCTCAGGTTGAGTACGATGTGGATGTTAATCTGAATTTTACTGATCTTGGGACCGTGGACGCCCTTAGAAGCATCCTGGACGCCCTTAGAAGCATCCTGGACGCAGGTGGCTTTTCCCTAGCCTTGGGTCCAACTGTGAACGTCACACACATTAACATCACCACAGGTAAGCATGGTGGTAAAAGCATGGGGGTGAAATGTTGTTAGACAAGACAAAGGGTGCCTGGGTATTAAAGTGTATTGTGTCCTTTTCCCCCACATTTGACCATGTGATACATTCAATTCAATCAATTCAATTTTCTTTCAAGTGTTTACAGAGTAATGGCTCACGTATTAACTGTGGACAAAGTGCAATGCGAGAATATGTTCTCGTGACCTTCACATCACTAAACTATTTTTGTTTAAACACACTTTATTTTATATTATACAGTCCTCCTCTAAAATTGGGACTTTCCCTTCTCATTGAGGTGAAGCAAGTTTGGAAAGTTCAAGAATGTCCACATACTTTTGAGTGTCAAAAAAAAAAAATCCACCAGGGCTTCTCAGACAGGGCACTAGCAAGGCGTGTGCACAAGTTAAACAATAATATTCTTTACAACTATTAGGGCCTGAGCACGAAGTGCAAAGACCTATTGAAATCATCAGCAGTATTATTCTTATTTTACCGGTTCTGCACTTTCGACCTGTTTTTGAGGGGCTTGCGACACTATTCATGTAGCGACATTTGGCAACGCCGCCAGGACGGGTGAAAATGTTGACATTCTGGATTCGATGGGTGAAAAATTTCAAACTTGCTCTCTAGCGCCACCTGTGAACATTCAGTTTTTCGAACAAATTTACAAAGTCCCAGCGTAACTCTGACGGACCTGAAATTTTGCACACTTATCCGGGTGCAGCAGCTCTACATATTATCTCAAAATCCCCATCAAATCCCGAAGCTCCGCCTACTTTGATTTTTTTTAATTAGCATAATGTGAAAAACAGTGAAATATTAACTGAAATTCCAATTTCTTGATTTCCCACACCAAACTTAGTGCACAGCATCAGTGGAGGGTCAGACACATTACCGTACAAAATGAGCACGAGGTGTGGAAAATTGTGGCCGACATCAATCAAAACGTATTAGCAAAAGGGTGTGGCCTACACATAAATGCTCACAATTCATCCAAAATGTAACCAAATATCACAGATTTCAGTGGATAGGTTCAGTGTGTCTTGGGGAATAGGCACACAAAAGCATGTTCATTTCGGATAATAGGGGGCGCCAAAAACACAACTAATTTATATCTCAAGAACCGATGGACTAAAAAAATATATGTTGTCATAGACATACTGGCAGGGTGAGTATAAACTGAGATTTAAAGGGTCGCAACCAATGAAAAAATGTGGGCGTGTCCTATTCAGTTTTTTTCTCGAAATCGAAGGGGTTAAAAAAATGTACCGAGCCATAAGTAGGGGAGAAAAATGAGTTACGGCCTTTAAATTCGGAACACATGTCACAGCCCACAACCTTTTCCAGACTGTAGAAAAAAATCGTACGTTTTAGCAAATATGGCTCAGTAGCGCCCCCTATTGTGCGGTAGTCCAAATATAGTTTCTTCGAACTACCCGAAACTTAGCACAGAGATACCTCATGGAAATGCGGACATATTTCAAAATGACTTCCAATATCTCCGCCCCCTATTAAGTCGGCTATTTTGAAATATGTCAATTTTAAGCGCATTTTCGCATACTTCTCCTAGGAAAATGATCGGAAAAATTCCAAACCAGGACAAGATCTGCCCATATCCAATGTGATGCTAAATTGCGAATGAATAATCGACTGCTCAAACGGGGAGCTCGTAAGCTAACAAAACATGTACCAATTTTGATGATTTAAATGCCACAAACCCACGTCTTTTTCCAGACGTACATTTTTGTACACCAGCTCAGTAGCGCCCCCTATTGTGCGATAGTCACATATAGTTTCTCCAAACTACCCCAATCTTGCCACAGACATTACTGATGGAATTGCGGACATATTTCAAAATAGCTTCCATTAGCCCCGCCCCCCAGAAAGTCGGCCATTTTGAAAAATCGGCGTTATTCATGCATTTTAAGCGCATTTTCGTACACACCTCCTCGGGAAAAGATCGGAAAAATTCCAGTCCAGGACAAGTTAAGCCCATATCCAATATCATGTTAAATTGTGAATAAAATAGTTGCTAGCTCAATCGGGGCACGTAAGCTAACAGAGAATGTACCATTTTTGACGATTTACATGTCTCAAATTACTCCAAACTACTCGCATATTTTTCCAGATATTCACGAAACGCTGTATACACATTGCTATTATGATGGCACACCAATTTACCAGCAACAGCTCTGCTTATTAATTTCCCACATGAACCATAAACACCCAATACATATAAAAGTCCTAAACAATGTATGTTGAAATGTTTTCCATCTTTGTTTTTCTATCTACGACTACAAACAGTCTTTCCACTAAAAGCAGAACAGTAACACATCTTTCTATGCAATACAATAGAACACATAATTTAAAACCAGCAGGATGTAAACAGAGGAGAACAGCCGGTCTGATTTAGTGTCATGTGATTATCCTGTAATGAGTAACATACACGGTGTTGATCGGCTATATAAACAGTTCATTTATTGTCTCGATACATGTGTTGTGTGTAAGAACATTTGAATCAATTTGATACGTCAATATGTTTAGGGAGAGACTTAATTCAGGTAGCTTGCCTTGGCTGTGTGTGGTGCGCGGAGGTTTTGTCGTCAACAGACTCATTAAACTACCCACTTCTCGGTACATAGAACCCTGCTCCACTTTGTCAAAACGTGAGTAATATAGCAATTGGTGTGTTATACTGAAATGTGTTGACGTTGTATGCTTTTCATTGGAACACGCGGTGGGTGTGTGCATTGCTAATGCTAGTTAAGCTAATGAAGCATGTCCATGCTACCTCACGCGGATAGCAATGCCATTGAAGACCAGTTTAGACCAGACAAAGAGGAAGGTAAGCTATGTTAGCCTAGCGCATAGTACCTAGCGCCACTTGTTTTGATGTACGTTTTTGTTGATAAACCTCGCGAGTTTGTATCTTCAGTGTTGAGGTGGGCACCGTTAGATTCTGTGTCTTTACGGTCATAAACAATGTGTTGGATGTGGAGCTAGGATAAGTAATAAGGGAGCTAGGAGTGATTTTCGGTGCAGTAATAGGTTAGCATTTTTCGCTCGGGGCTAATTCAGAGGCTCACTGTTAGCATTGTGTGTTTTTTTTAAAAAAAGAAATGAAAAATATCAGTTAAATGAGTTTTTTCGCATTCTATAGATATAAAATATTCATAGTTTATTAAATATAAAGGTTCCTTAGACGTTTTTTCCTGCAAATGACGCGATTTCGGGTCCGTGGGACCTAAGAGGATAACAGAGTATGTTTTTTTTGTTTTTTTTTCACAACAGTTGTATTTGGATGGAATGAATACCTATAGTGATAATTCAAAGTAATACAATGATTTTTACAGTGAAAACGTTCAAATGGAACTGATGGTTCCCAAATTACCCAGAGGTGAGTCCGCCTGGACTTTATTTTTCTAAACCTCTCTAAAAAGGTACAATTATACTTGTTTTGCATCAATCTTGATACAGGGTACTTATTATATGTTATAGTTTGGATTCCGAAAGCTTTTAGTCTACTAACCCATCATTCAAGGGTGGTTTTCACTATAAGTAATGGTTTTTTTTTAGGCGGACATTAGAATTTACATGTTTTTACTATGTTCCATCTGAATTTACTTTAAAATAAAAACATCTATATTGTACGGTGGCCCTGAAGTGCAAGACACCACAGCATTTCACAAAACACAACAGCATTTCACAAAACACAACAGCATTTCAGAAAACGCCACAGCATTTCACAACACGCCACAGCATTTCAGAAAACACAACAGCATTTCACAAAACGCTGCAGCATTTCACAAAACGCTGCAGCATTTCACAAAACACCGCAGCATTTCACAAAACGCAACAGCATTTCAGAAAACGCCACAGCATTTAACAAAACACAGCAGCATTTCACAAAACACCGCAGCATTTCACAAAACACCACAGCATTTAACAAAACACAGCAGCATTTCATAAAACACCGCAGCATTTCACAAAACACCACAGCATTTCACATTGAAAGGGTATTCCTTAGGGAGAACACTTATTGTTTGTGATTGGACAGAGCCAGCCAGAGAAGCACTGCTGTGATTGGTTGTTTTTGCTGCCAATCAAGAAATGACTTTGTGATTGGCCCAACACATCATCCGTTAGCTGTTAGCACACACTCAGAGCTCACAGCTCCTCATATCTGTTCAGAAACTGGACAAAAGTTAAAGATATGCAAACCACAGACTGTCTATGACATGGCGAATACAGTCGCTGCTTTATTTATGTCTGTATGACGTTGTTGTGAGTGTGGACGGAGCAGCTACAGGTTAGTTTAGCCTGATCGATTCGATTCCGATAGGATTTACATGGAGATACGCCCCGCCCCCTCTCCAGCGTCTTTTTTGAATGACAGGAGTAAACACAGAATTAATGCTTTATTAATTCATGGTTTTTAAGGGGCTTATCTCCATGTAAATACTATGGTAGACTACCCAATATTCGCATCGCTCTAATCGCTCGAGTTTCACCGCGGCTGTCAGCTGTGTTCCTGTGCTCCTGTCATTCAAACAAGACGCGCTGGAGAGGGGGCGGGAAGTATCTCCATGTAAATCCTATGGGAGATACCAACTACAACAAAATGAACATATTTGACCGTGATGTAATTGTAATACACGTTTCAAAGTGATGCCGAAGTAACTACATACTGATAACGGTTAGTAAAAACCATGAATTAATGCTTTGACAAGTCTGCAGACAAGACGGCAGGTGAAAAGCTTTTAAAATGCGTGTTTTCAGAATAGAATCGGATCCATCAGGCTAAACTAACCTGTAGCTGCTCCGTCCACACTCACAACAACGTCATACCGACATAAATAAAGCAACGACTGTATTCGCCATGACATAGACAGTCTGTGGTTTGTACATG